TTGCCTGAACTGACAACTTTATATTCATTTATATATATATATATTTATAAATCATCAAAGATTTTACAGTGTTAACGGCTACCATATGATATATATATGTTGGGTCAAATTTGTGTGGAGGTTGAAAAATACAAGGGGAGTCTTTATGGCCCAAAATAGTGGTTTTAGACCACATTGGTAATGTAATTCGACAGGCAAATTACAGTAATATTTTTAGCAAATTTCTTTGAAAAATTTCATGGCATAGGGCCTAGGCCTACCTAGGTATACAGTAATTTCATTTTACAGTAGTTTGGAACGATATCAGAAGTGGGGGTGGTAGCAGTGGCCAACTAGGACTACAATTTATTTGAAGCTATCTTGGGTCCGATCGTCCACACCAGTTAGGTTAGGCCCAATCGTCTGTCACCTGAAGTTTTCATTATGACGATCAAGAATGTATACTATCTAGGTCCTGGGCTAAAGGCCAGGTCACACCTTCACCGATAACGATAGCGATACGATAAAAATTATCGGTGTGGTGTAAATTAATGGAAGTGGTCACACTATAACGATAACGATACGATTATCGTGAGCGATAAAGTTATCGTATCGGTCAATCACTTTTGAAGCGATTTTTTTTTATAGTTATCGGCAACAATAAACGTATCAGCCAATCAGATGAGGGTAGTCAGGGAAGATGAAAGTACTGTAGTCAACTTTCACACACACCGGTGTTGACCGAACTCGCGACGCGATGGACGATCAAACTGAGCGCCTGATTTTGGAGGTTCAGACACTAGGCCTAGGCCTATCTTGTATGAAAATCAAATGCTGATTGTAAAAGTGTTAACCAAAAAGAGACGTTTGGCAAGAAATTTGCCGCAGAGTTGGAATGAGTGGTGGGTGTGATTCACGTCTATAAAAACGATTAGAGTAGTAGGCCTAGCCTTGGCTGTAGCTTCAGTGACTAGCCTAGCCTAGGCCTAGTCGACCCGGGGCCGAAACGATCCTACACCGCCTAGGCTAGGCCTAGAAACATCTCTCTCTCTCTATATATCTCTATATATATATATATATATCTCTATATATATATATATATATATATATATAAATGAATAAAAAGCGAGGTTCAACAATAGCTTTGATTAGACATTTTATTACTACTTAGTTTCGTACCACACACATGGTGTGACACTCTTCAGATAAAATTGCCTAATGACTAAAAAACATAGAAATACAATTGATTGAGATAAGCTGAGCATGCGCAGAAAGCCAGAGCGGTAATACAAAGGGTTCAATTAGTTCAGTCAGATTAAGGATTGATAAACAATGAAAGGGATTAAAGTGATAAACATAAGTTAAGTTGCAACATTACATGGGAAAGATGTTAGCATGCTAACTTGACTTTAAACTTAATTTTATTTTTACCCCCTCCTAGCATGCTAACATCTTTCCCATGTAATGTTGCAAC